CCGACGGGTAAAAATTTACACAATGTGATCCAAACGCAATCCCAAATGTCCGATATGTCCAAGCATGTCGCCCCCACAAGAGCAGCGCATTTTTGTAGATTTCTCACCTAACCCATCCTATCGTCAAAAGTTGGATGGCGGTTCGGAGTGATTGTCGATAAAAATAGTTGCGCCGTCGGGGAATTGAACCCCGACCTTCTCCTTGGAAGGGAGAAATCCTAACCATTAGACTAACGGCGCCAGTCCTTTATTTGCCAGCTTGTACACAGTACCACTGTCTGACCCTCATAAAGACTACCCTCCGTTCACCAACCGTTACCATGTCGCTTGATCTGTCCACCGTAACCGCTCTGGGTGTACCTGTCGACCCGTCGATTGACACCAACCCCCCCGTGATGCCACGCGGTTCCACCCCCGGGCTGCTTCGTCGTCCCATAACGTCCGGCACATCCAACGCCCCAAGCGTTGATGACATTGTCACCGACCCGCCACATTCTACTCGTGGTCAGCTGCCCGTCCCGACTGTTTCACCGCCACCCAACACGTCCCCTACGGAGAACGTATGGGAGTTCATGCGTGAAAGTCGTCGCCGCGCTGACCGCGCCAGCTCCAAGGCTGATATCGGCACCCACCGTCCCACCATGCCCCAGCTTACACCCCTCCTGGAACTCTTGAACTCTGGAGCTTCTGGAGGTGCACTGTTTGACGCCTTCGAGCCGCTTCGTCTTGACGTGAAGAAGCCAGTGGTCTGTCGCGTGCAGATGGACACCGGTTCCTACACCAACACCATTGACGAGGGCAAAGCCATGAAGGCTGTACTTTTTGACACCAATCAAAAAGGTCTCGAACCCTCATTGGCCGAAATTGTGCAATGTCATCGAGATTTAGCCAATCAAAACTTGACCTGGGGACTCGCATCCTTTGAAGCAATGGATCGCCTTGTTGGTGTATCCTTCGCGATCCCAGTCTCCCGCGACGGCACCAAAGTCAACTTCACAATGTCCAGTCCACATGTTATGGATGGATTCTATCTCGACATCGTCGACTTTGTTCACGACCGCGTCTCAGAGCGCTTCCTTTGGGAGGTGCTAGCTGCGATCGGCGCGCCTCCAATTGCTGGCACCTACACCCAAGTGTCTGCCGCCTACGGTACCAAAGGCTCTCGTTATCGTTTATCATTTAACGATAATCATCCTCCTCCCCCTTTCGTGTGCAACGGGCGATTGCTCGACGAAATTGTGTTCCTCGGCAAATGCCATAGGATTTACGGTCGAGGGTGGTACAACCACCGCAAGGGTTTCCAACGCGTTGACCTGGATATT